CAGGCGTTTCCCGCGACGGTCTCGGAGCGGCTGGCTGGTCCTCGGGAACAGCGGGCGGCGAGGGCAGCGGTGAGAGCCGGGCGGGCCCCCTGGCCGCGGGGCGTCCGCGCGGATCCCCGGGGGTCTCGGGCGAGCTCGACGTGGCCGCGCCCCCGGCTGAGAGGGAAGCGTGCGTCCTGCTGGCGTGTTTGGTGGAGCGGGGTGATAGTGACAGAACGGTTAATCTGAATCAATGGCGAGTCTCGCGAAGGTTGCTCATGAAGGGCTTGAGTTACGGGACGAGTCAGCCAAGGTGCAGTGCAGCACCGACGACGACACAATCCTCTCCGTCTTTAATGCTTCCTCCCCCTCTCGCGCCCCCACTATCATGACCCCAGTTCCACCTTACACATCAGGCTAGCCCAGAGCATGTCACCGGTACAGGTAAGAGCTGGAAACACATGGATTCCGGGACAGATACAATCATGGGAGTAGCGGTCCCATGAAGGCGGGGGAAGGTGGGGGGTGAGAGGGAGAACCGATCACAATCATCGACCCCCCACCCCACGGGACAAACAGCAGAAACGTGCGTGCAAGGGAGACAGCGGACAGTGTAAGATATGAAAATGACAATTTATCAACCGTGTCATGAGGGTGGGGGAGGGAGCGATAGAAGAAGAGATTATACCAAGGGCTCAAGTATAAAGAAAATGTTTTGAAAATGCTGATGGCAACATATGTACAATTGTGCTCGATACAATTGATGTATGGGTTCTTATAAGAGCTGTAAGAGCCCCCAATAAAGCGATTTATTAGAAAAAAATTTAATGCAGTATTTTGCCAACTTTGGAGGAAAAAAGTTGAATTACAATGATTTTTTCCCCCATTGGCTGTGGTTTAAGTCTGTGTGAGAATTAAGAAATACACAGTTTTCATAATAAGTGTGGTAACTGATTCATTTTAAGGTATTTTCTTCTAAGCCTTCTAGTGGGAGTTTAGGTTTGATTGTTATGAGTGGTGTGGGATGTGCAATTGTATTAAATTTTGGTAGGTCTTTTTTTTTAATTAATAGGATTTTTAGCATATTTAGGGAGAATATCCAGAGACCTGAGGACCTCATACAGTTTTAGGGGTGTCATGCATGGGTTCATTAATAAAAAGAAAACAACTTATTATATGGAGAATATAGGTAATTTAGATTATGATTGAAATGGTGTGGAAGGTTTAGGTTTCTATGGTGGTGTGTTAGTCCAGGTTGACTAGAGAAACAAATCCAGAGGCCCTCATATGTGTGTATAAGAGAGCTTTAGACCAAAGAGCAACTGTTTATTGAGAAAACATCCCAGCCCAGTCCAGATCAAGTCAGTGAGTCTGATAGTAGCCCATATGCCAGATACTAGTCCATAAATTCCTCTTCAGACTCACGCAGCACACAATGATGCCGAAATGCAGGGAGATCACTGGCCAGTGGGTGGAAGAGTGGACGCATCTATCTCAGTGCTGGCATGGATCTCAGCATGGCTCCTCCAGCTCTCTGTGTGCCCCCGCCCCCCCCCCCCTGAGAAAGAGAGGAAGTTCGCAGAATCCTGTCACACCCACAAGGAGGTGCCATCAGGCTGTGACCCGATTGACAGGCTAGATTCCACCCCTTCACTCTTAATAGTCCCAGGTTGACACTAGAGTATGTAACTACAAGGGGTGGTGAGGAGATTGGTTATATTCCAGAGAATGAGGTAGGTGACTGTTCACAGTGTAACTAGGGAAGTTGAATAAGTTACATCTGGGTGATCTTTATTTGTTAGTGTTTTTCTTGTTACTGAGATTACCTGGGGGCATTAGATTAGTAAAATAAGGCCAGGTGATAATGAGGTTAAAAAGAAGAGGAACTACATTTAATTATGTCTTTTGGTTAGAAGTAAGTGTGGAAGCTGTGTTTGAATAGGACTAGATTTTTTGGTAGAGATTTTACTAATCAAGTTAAGTCAAGGGTAGTAGAAGCCAAGCTCTGACTAGTAGTTAGACTAGAGAAGGGAGAGAATCTACACATACTAACAGGGAAATATATTAGAACGCGGATGTGACTAGAAGGGGGTGTTAAGTTTCAGGTTATGGGCTAATAGATTTAGGTCAATGGCTAGGGAGAACCCCAATAAAGTTACTGGTAGTCCTGTGAAAGTGAGATCATTTGGTATTGTGATATGAGGGGTGGTTGTTAGAGGGAGGCTTCATGAAAAGATGAAATACTTCCTAATGCAAGGCACTTAATGGCATTAATAAGGATTGTTTTTCATTCATTAGAGTTAATGGGGGAAATCGGGTTGATGATGATGGGCAAAGAAACTGCTGAAACGTTGTTAAAGAGAGGTTGTGACTACGGTTCATAAAAGGGCTCAGGCATTGGTATAAAATGTATTTATTAGCAGTCTCAGTAAGTCTTTTGAATAAAAACCTGTGAGAAAAGGCACACCTGTTGACGCCAGGCTCCCTATTGTTAGTGTTAATGGTATAAAAGGCAGTGCTTTACATTAACGGCCTGTTTTGTGAATGTCTGGTCCATCATTAAGATGGTGAATAATAAATCCGGAGCATATAGATAGTGTTTAAAAAGTTGATGCTGACTCAGGGTGATGCTGTAGGACAGGGTAGGACTGCCCCTGTGGGTTTCCAAGACTGACTTTTTTATAGGAATCAAAAGCCCATCTTTTCCCCATGGAATGTCTGATGGGCCTAGGTGTGGGGGCATCTCCGAGCTTCTGAGGGTTGGTGTGCTGGGAGGGGGTGCATCTTCAGAAACCCAGCCGTAGGGGCTATCAAAGCAGCAGGAGTGGATGACCAACCACCTGACATGCTGCCTTGTAGATGCTGACCCTGGACACAGACATCACAAACCAGGTCAGCAATCTGTACTGGGACCTGCGGCACCTGGTCCTGCATCACAGCGCCAGCCTCACCTCCTGCCCAGCTTGGCACCTTGGGCTCTGTGGGCCCAGGAGAGCACTCAAGCCCACCTCTACCTCCTCACCTTGCAACATACTTGGTGAACTCCAGGACTGGGTCGTTAAACCCAGGGGAGAACTTTGGAGCTGGAGGAATGTTTCTGCAAGTTCTGTTGAGGTTGAGAGCCTGTGTCTATCTTCTGCACGATGGAGAACAAGTCTCTCTGGAGAAGTGACACCCCAGGAGCTCTGGGTGGAGGGGCCATTCTTGAGTGAGCCCTGGAGGCTCTCAGATCTGCTCAGATAAGCCCCCACACACAAGAGATTAGGGACTGTGGAAGCAAGTCACCAGCACTCTAAGGCCTCCCTGCTGCGAGACACCTGTGTGGGATCCAGCCCACATCTGGATGGATACTAAGGGACAGTTATATAATTGGAGGGACGAAATGAGGCAGACAAAAGTTTTGGGGTGCTCACCTCCTCCATGGTATGAGGAGCCAGGTCTGAAAGAGAGAGGGGTAAATGTATTCTCTCACAAGTTTATATAATCTCAGGCTTGCAAGCCAGGTCACTCACGTAAGTTACAGGAAGGCGCTGTTTCAGAGGCATACACAAAAGAGGCGGGCGACAAGCCGGGGTGCACATGCAGTGGGAAGGGGAGGCACCAGAGGCAGACATGTGACAGGACGGCACATACGTAACAAGATGGGCAGGTTCTACAGTCAAGGTGGCGGCCTAGCCTTGGTCTTCTCTGAGCTGCTTGACCTTAAGTGTCCCTGAGCTCTTCTCCAGGGGGACAGTCTATGGGCCTCATCAGAAGGGAGTGGGCCTACGTAAGGTTAGATGGTCTGGTTGCTTTTGATGGCAGATGACCTTCAGGCTGATAGCCTTCAAGCACTTAACCTTCATGAGACAGTAGCAGCCGTGTGCTCACAAGCAGCACCTTAACATTGGCATTATTACGGGGGACATCGTGGGGAGCAACCCTAGTTACTGAATGTGACTGAGATGCAGCTTCAACCCAGAACGTGAAGGCCTCCCTCTACGGGGTCTCAGCTTCCCAGGCTGCTTAACACGTGAGCGTGGAGAAAAGGTCTGCACACGCTCTCTCCCTGGTTCTCAGTTTCCTGCACACCTGCACCTCCTTCTCATGTCTGTTGGTCACCTTTCCAGGGGACAGAGTGCATCAAGCAAGCGCTAAGTACTAGGGTAAGGTGACCAGATTTTAACATTGGTAAAGCGGGACAAAAGTGGGACACCATTGATAAAACTCATATCCTGGCGAAATAGTCACATGGCAGCCGAAAGCCGTGTACCCTAGCTTGTCGTGCATTCTTTCCAAAAATCCGGACTTTTTAAAAACACGGGCGGGACGCGGTGGGGGTGGGGGGACGTGTTAAAAATCAGGACTGTCCCGCCAAAAGCGTGGTGTCTGGTCACCTTATACTAGGGCCAGTGGTTGTGATTCCACGGTCAGCAGACAGACGTGCCCCACACCCTCTGAGAGTAGTGGCGGGTGGTTGGATTTGTGACTGCGCCCTGCCTTTGTCCCTTTGCCCTTGGGCCCGCGTGTCCAAGGAGCATTGTCCTCACACTGTCTCCCCTTGGCCCTGCTGGAGTCTTTCTCCCTCGCTGTCCCTGTGAAGAAGGGACGTGTGTCTCTGCTGGCCCAGGGCCTCTCGAAGGATGACTGGGCATCAGTGTGGGCGCGGGCCTGCACCGTGGGTCCTGTCTGCTTCTCTCAAGACTCGGTGCTCCTTCTACAGACAGCAGTGTCATAGCCCACCCCGGGGTTTCAGCCAGGCTGGGGCCTGCCCCTCGGGTCCTGGCACTCCGCTCCTTCCTCCCGACAGCCTACATCGTGGCTGTGTACCACAGCATGAAGGAGGAGCTGCGGCGCAGTGCCCCGGGGAGCACCCCTGTGAAGAGGAGAGGGGCCAGCCAGTTCTCCCAGGAGACAGAGGCCACGGCCGGGTCTCTGCCTGGTAAGTAACGGGGTCCAGACACTAGCACGTGGGGGTCCAGCCCCTCTCCCGGTATCCCTGTCACTGCTGAGATGAGATGACAACGACGACGACCGCAACGCCCCCTCTCCCCCAGGAATGATCACCTTCTCTCAGGACTACGTGGCAAATGAGCTCACCCAGAACTTCTTCACCATCACGCAGAAGATTCAGAAGAAAGTTACGGGCTCACGGAACTCGACGGAGCCCTCAGAGATGTTCCCGCAGCTCCCAGGTTCTCACCTGGTGCTCAACAACCCGGCCCTGGAGTTCACCAAGTACGTGTGCAAGGTGAGAAGGCGGAGGTGGGTGCGAGCTCTCTGGGATCCAGGGAGCCTCGTGGGTGCCAGGGCTGGGCAGGTGGTGAGGCTGGCGCTGTGGCGCTAGGCCTCCAGTGAGTGGGAGCGCGTCCACCACCCTGTCTGTCCAGATGAGGCCACCATGTGTTTTATTGCGCTTCCCGGTGTTTTTTACCTTTTCCGTGCACCCTGTCGGTGGGATCGAACATTATAGAGCCATGGAGGGGGTGGGGCGGCTCTGGTCTCTTCCACTCAGCAAAGGTTGGTGGTGGTTCACCCGGGCTGAGCTGTGTGGGTGGCTCCCTCCTTTCTGTGCTGAGCAGGCTGCCAGTGTTGGGCTGTGCCATTCACCTGCTGCAGGCCGCCTTCGTTGTTCACCTGGTTGTTGATTATGAATTCAGCCGCCACAGACGTTCCTGTGCAGGTGTCTGTGTGAGCACAGGTTCCCTTTCTGTTGGATAAAAACCCAGGAGTGACATTTCTGGGCTGTACAGTAAGCTGCTTAGCTCTGTGAGAAAACTGCCAGTGGTTTACTCAAGCAGTGATGCTGTTTTGCCGCCCACCATCCCTCTGCGTGCCGTCCCCGCCGCTCCACGCCCTCACCAGACCGGGCAGTTTTTCACTTGAGCGACTTAAATAGGCGTGCAGTGGTATCACATCATGTTCAAGTTGTACTTCCCCAGTCACTACCGGCGTTGGTGTCTGTGTGCATCCGGCCGTCACAGACCTTCTTTGTTGGATGGTCTGTTGAGATTCTTTGTGACGGCATTGTCTTTTGACTGCTCAGTTGTGAATTCTTTATGCATCCCGGACCCAAGGCCTGAGGTGGTGAATCACATGGATTGGTTTTCAGGGGTTGATCTTACTACACTTGGGGGAGCAGCTGTGATGAATGATTCCAGGGGGGACTACCTCCTTAGTGTTGTCCCCTTACAGAACCATCTATTTTGCCCCCCACATCCTTCACCACAACCCCTGGCTGCAGGAGCACCAACTGCTCTGTGCTCTCTGAGGAAATGCAACGGGCCCAGGAGTGGGTGGCGTGTCGGGTGGCAAGGGCCCGCGCAGGGACAGCTGGAGTTAGGATGGCGGCAGCTAGAGGAGGCTTTCTCCTGAGGCCTGAAGAGCCTGGTGGAAGTGTGGAGCCTGGGGAAGCCTTCTCGAGTTTTTTATGCGCACAGCCGGGGCAGGGCGTGTGAGGAGTGAGCGAGTGGAGAGGGGGGAGAGAGCAGGGAGGGGACACCGAGAAGGGAGGAAACAGCAGTGTTTTTGAAGACAAAAACAGGAGATCGGTGATGAAGTGTAGTTGATGAGAGGTACAATCGAGGAAGGCCGGAACTGTAAGGCAGAAAAGCAGCAGGCTACAGAACCGACAAACGCTCCTCCCCTGGGAGATTGCTCACCATGTCTCCAGTAAACCGGAAGAAATTGGATACCTTTGAAATGAAGAGCACCTAAAGGTGGACAGAGGCTTGGTCTGAAAGAGCTCAGAGTATGGAAAGGGCTCAGCTCTCAGGAGAGCTCACCGGGTGCGGGTCTCATCCTCAGAGGACCCAGTGTAGCAGCCAGCGTGGTCACAGCCTCCCTCGGGCTCAGCAGGGAAGAATGCCAGGGTAGGAGGCTGCTGGCCCCAACACTGCCACGGGATGAGCCCCCAGCACATCCAAGGCCAGGGGCTCCGGGGTGCCACCACTGAACACCAGAGCCTGACAAGGACAGCGCCCTTGTCCTCCTTTGTCTGCGTTACCCCACCTCCCTGTATCCTCCAGTCTCAGCTCCGCTAGGTGGGGGTCCGCAGTGCTGTGACAGCTGGTGTGAAGACTCACCGAAGGGCTTGATGTGAGCAAACAGCACCCTAGGGGTAGGGTGAGGGCAGGCGACTGGGGAAGGAGTTGTGATGTCAGTTGGGAAGGGCAGGACTCTGGGACAAGTGAGATCCCATGGCCCAGGAGCTACCACTGAGAGGCTCGGAAAGGATGGTGTTTCAGGAGACAGATGAGCAGGTGTCAAGGACCTGGGGCATGGGCAGGAGCTGGCAGACTTCCAGGTCTGGGTGAGAGGAGATGTTGGAGGCAGCAGGTCTAGGAGGCTGCTGACAGGGATGACCGGGGGTCCGCTCTCATGCTAGTGCCACACCAAACACACAACCACCTTCATGCAAAATCAAGGTTGTATTTGGCTCCATGATGGACACAGGAACAGACTGTTTCGGGTGGGAGAGGGCTGAGGAAACACGAGTGGTCAGAGCCAGTGGCTGCAAGTGAGTACTCTGAGAGGCTCCGATGCCCAGCAGAGATGGCTGCTGTGGACACCGTGACAGCAGAGGTACCTGCAGATGCCACAGATGGCGGGGCACCCCCACAGGTGGAGTAGGAGCAGCTGGGGAGATGCAGAGCTGGCGGCCCAGATGCCTTGAGCCACCCTTGGGTCTCGTGTCCTGCCCTCTGCTGTCCCAGCCAAGGCGCCGTGGCACGCTCCTGAGCACAACCTTCCTCCAGCAGCCACAGACCACCCTGGGAGCTTGCCTAAGCGAGTCTGCTACCCAGAAACCTCGGAGCATTGTTTGCAGACGGCAAGTGCAGCTTTGTTTGTGAGCGTAGTTCACAAAGAACCATAGGGTTTTCTAGACATCTTGTTTATAAAGTCTACCAAGATTAAGAATTTAATAACACATGTATTTATATTAACAGACTATTTACACTTTTTTTCTTACAAAAAAACTTACACTTCTGCATAATAGAATAAGGCAAGAACAAATGTTTTGTACATTATTATTATTTCAATATACGTGTGTCTATAGCTTCTGTTCCGAGTACCGGAGGGCCAGGTTGGGCCGCACAGTGCTCTGGGCTAAGTGACCATTTATTTCTCTATAAATAGGATCAAAGAACCCTGGGGTTCTAGGCAGAGATCTGAGGCGGTAAAACTGCAAATTGAACTAAAAACGAAAAAGCAAAACGCTTTCCCCCCCCATTTCTTTAAGATCTAAAGAGCACAAAATTAAAAAAATTACAAATCCATTAAAAACGCGGTCTTGCCTTTGGGAAAAAACGTACAAAGTCGAATTCTTGTTTTCTTTTGCAAAGATCGCCTCTTCTCAGAGCCCCCCGCCAGATGCCGGGCCCGCAGACCTGTGCTTAAGTCGAAAAGGTGACGGCAGTGCTGTGTGGCCCAGCCAGGCCGGGGTGGGGGTGGGGGTGGGGGGGCCCCCCTACCGCGCCTCCACCTCCGGTGGGTGCCGGGCGGCGCACTCGTGCGC